ATTAATTCAGTTCAATTCAACTTTGTTTATATAATGCAGCCTTAAAAATACAATAAAAGCCAAATCAACATTACACGCTTTTTTTATAAGAAACCTACCTCAAGGCCTAGTTCCAAAAGTTCCTTATTCGTAGACCTGAAATAATCAAATTGTAGTACGAAAAGTTCCTTAATACATAGTTCCTTAATTTTCACTGCACATCAACTGTCATAAAAATGTGCAGAAACAGGAAAAACATTTTGCCTTTACTTGTGGCTAGAACTCAGGAGCAAAAACACAAAAAAGGCTATGTTAGGGATATTCCATGTCAAGTGTACCCAGCTTGTAAAGTGACCCTCATAGATTTTGCTGATAATTTGCGTAGGTGTAGTGCTCTATACGAAAATCTTACACCCAAAATTTAAGGGTTCTAGGTCAACCCGTTTCCGAGTTATGACGGGTCAAAAATTGCAAAATTCCTAAAATTGGGGGCATCCGGACCACACCCAGATGCTCCTCGTTTCTGTTCTGTAGCACCTACAACAAAAATTTTGGTATCAAATAAAAGCTCTTGTAATTCTGAATCTGACTAAAACAACACAAAAATTCTGTCTCTTCAGTATACTTACACAATCAGTGCACCAAGATTTCAAATGTTGACCACGCCCAGGGGGCAACTTTGATTTTGATGAAATTTTTTTCAAATACTCCTTGGTTACCAGAAAATTGATACAGAAAGTTTCAGAGTGGGGTAAGATTGGGTTTTTACACAATGACTCATCTAAAGCAGGTAGGTATGTGTAAAATGCCATTTTCAAAGGTTTTCTATACTGAAGCTTGTCAGGCCACAAAATGCTACCAGCTCATAAAAGCTTGGTATCATGTAACAAAGGTATGTACAAAACAACTGCAAAAATGATTGCTTTATCAAGATTTGACTGTAAACAAATATTGAGTTTAGTTCTGATTCAATTGAGCTGCAAAAGAACTCTTCTTAGATTCACTCTTTGTCAATCCATTGTATGGAAACGGCGCTTAAAATGGCGGCTCACAGAAGCAAAGGGCCTAAGCCGACAGGTTTTAAAACATTTGGTTAATTTTTAGTCACAATTCCTAAAATTTTACGACTACACCATTGATTCTGATGTAAAATTTCTGATTAAAACCATTAATAAAATATTTCAAGCATGAAACTAGGCAAAGTTTTTTGGAAGGGAACTTTAAAATCAACCTGCTTAGAGCAACTTAAAATTCAATAAAATTTAATAAAAATATCAGATATAAAAGAGAAAAAACATTTTTCTATCAAAATGTATAATCGTATAACTTTTCACGAAATAGAATTCTACTTTCTACAGTTTTACAGCTAAAGCTTATATCTATTACAATATAAACAAGATATATAGTTTCCTATCATACAAACATAGATTTATATATTTATTTATTCTTTTAAGGAAAAGGAATACAAACATACATAATCGAATCAAGAAGTGCATTGGATTATTTGATATTGGTGTCACGTGTTCTCACTCAAAGTATGCGGGTTTGGATGACTCTGATTACGATGTTTGATCATGATTTTGATGGCTTTGATTAGGACGATTGATGATGATTATGTTGACTTTGATTATGATGATTGATGATGATTATGTTGACTTTGATTATGACGATTGATGATGATTATGTTGACTTTGATTATGATGATTGATGATGATTATGTTGACTTTGATTATGATGATTGATGATGATTATGTTGACGGAGTTGATGGATTCTGCCAAACATAAAAAATATTATCAAAGAAATGCAGTATTTCCTTTACAAATTAATGGTTCAAATTTTAAAAAACACTTTTCAGCACTGAGCTGCCTCTTCGACCTTTAATGAAGCGGAGCCAGGTCGCTTGCTGTCCCCAAGAAAATTTCCTTTGAAATTTATGAAGGTAGAACTCTGAATACCAATAGGATGGCTGCATTGATCTAAATAAAGAGAGTCCTTGAAATACACTCAAGACAAATAAACATCAAATAAATAAATAGATAAATAAATGAATAAACATTGAACTGAAAAAGAGATTTTATCTACCCACCTTGTTGTGAATATGTGCTTCACTGCACAAAAACCTTACAGCGCAGGAACAAGCATGCCACAATTAATCCCCCTGCATGTTGCACGGTGTGGTCGAATTAATAATCCATGTTTTGGTTTGCTGAAACCAAGAGAATATTTAATCCTTGAAATAATCCTGGCAGTGTTGCTATTTCCTTTTTATCTCCAGTTTATCTCCAGTTTTCAGGAAACGTGAAGAGGGTAACTGGGTTAAAGGAATAAGGATGGTGAATTTGCTTCACCACGAAGGTTGACGAATTCAAAGAATACGTAAAAAAACTAACAAGAACTAAAAGGGGAGGGATAAAGAATTAAAACGATAAATGAATACTTATGTTGAAAAAATAAAGGAACAAAATTGGAACATACCAGGTAAAATATCTTTTGTCGCCGACAGCACCGTCGTTTTTGCCACCTTCAAGATAACATTAATACTCCGTACCAAGTTAAAAGGTGGTTTGACAGTAAACATAGCATATTTTTTGAGAAGTTTATTTATGACTTTACAAGACTTTTATTCGTATCAAATATTTCATAGGATGAGAGCTTTCAATTCAGAACTCCCAAAAACAAACATTTTGCAAATTGGAACCCGGAAAATAAAACGGGACAAATGTTGAAATATCGTTCGTCTATAGCTGTTGAGAAGACATTTTACAATCTCTTGACTCAAGATCTAATATCAATTAAAAAAATCAAACATTTCCCAATGTCCAATTTTCTCAATACTCTTATCGTAATTGGAACATATAAAAAGGAACAACAGGATACCAATATTTTCAAGGACCAATCTATGACATTAAAGGCAATCTGTCACGACGTTGATTGGTTACAAGAACAAAGGGATTTTTATTGTTTCCAGTCCCCCTTTGATTTATCGCATTGTAAAAAATATGGCGGAGCGCTGGAATCGTGTTTAGGCTATTGTTCAAGCTATTGTTCTCGTTAACCAATCCACAACGAGACAGATTGCCTTTAAGTCCTTTGATTCAACTTACTCGGTTTTCGAAGCTCAATCCCAAGCCAAATTCCATCTGAAAAGTCAACCAAACCAATGTAACGTACAATACCAAGCTCGTTATTGACGTAGACACTCATCCCCTGCGAAATAAAAACTATAAGATACAATAAGAAAATCAGCAACGTATTCTTAAAATTACTACGGAATGTTAAACTGACGAGAGAAGTACTTGAAATGGAATGTCAAGTAGATATTGAAAGCTCTGAAGGCCACAATTGGTGGAAAGGCCAACTTATAATCTAGCTTTACATCAATGGACGCATGAATGGAGACGCGAGGGAGAGTACATTTACTTTCTAAACTATTGGACATGGTTCCTCGACCCACGGAAAGCATACACCACAAACAAAAACTTCTCCCGGATGCATAGCCCTTGATAATTCAAAGTTGTAATTTCAATCGGATTACTAATTCTTGGAAAATATTTTGAACTATATGAGACTTAAATCCTTGCTCGGACTAAATTCGATGTGAATCTGTTGACAGAGAAAGACCTATTCGAAATGTGTATGAAAAAGTCCCACATCTAAAGGCACTAGGCAATAAGTGTCCCCTAAACATTAGAACTTCATTTTAATAAAAGATTTCAATCCAAAAATAACGCTTGTCCAAACAGCATGAACAACTACAAGCCACAATTTGGAAGCATAGAAGCACGGTCTTCCTTTAAAAATTTACTGACTTAAAATTTGAAATAAACTTTCATTTTTTCATTTTTAATCTTTACATTTAATTCCAGCATGACCATTTTCTGATAGGCTCCCCGTCGGATCAGGGCCTCTACTAATAAGCGTCCCGGGATCAAGGTTAACACTTGGGGGCATTAAGTAATTTCCGGTAGATTCAACATCTTCTGGATCTAGAACTTTGTCTGTAGACCTCACTTTTCAGCCACCCCCCTTCCCCTCAAGTCAAAGAGGCCAAGATATGCCACACTGTGGCGCGTCTTGTGGTTCTTGAGGTTACCTTTACGTGTTTGACAATAACAACCTATATATATATATCCTCTTGTAGTAAATAGGGCAGGTGTTAAGCTCTTACACATTTCAGCTTAAACGATGGATCGATTGTTGCTCCTTTTGGCTCGGCTGTGCTCCTGGAAGAGATAATAACGATGTTAAGAAACGTGAACGCAACCGAAAACGCAACCGAAAACGCAACCGAATACGCAACCGTAAACGCAACCGAAAACGCAACCGAAAACCACAAAGTTACAAAGTTCGCGTTTACCCATTCATTTGGCTTATTTTGACAACTGAGTCGTTACTTTTGAACATTTGATTAGTTAAGGTATTATAATATCTGCCCTCAGTAGGCTTACGTTCATAGAACAAGTTTAGTTTCAGATAATAGCAAGAAAAATCCTACTGCTTTTCAAACCACATACAGAAAAGGAGAGATGAGGGAATTCGCTTGGGTTCCTTAACTATCAAATTCTCATTATTGGAAACGAAAGCCCCAAATAACAATAACGATGACATAAAATGAGACCACAAAATTAATACACAGAGTGGATATTACAAGACTCACATTTGTTTGACAACGTTTGCTCCATGTTCCCTTTTATCAAAGTCTTCCAATTTGGCAGCCCGACATCTACCATTGCTCTTGGAGCTACTGTCAGATTCTAGACTGGACTTTCTTGCTTTAACTCCCGAGTTGGAACCTGTTGAAACGAGTAAGTATACTTTTAGAAGTATACAAAGATTGCTAGATGATGTATGGGATCCATTGTGGTATATATGACGATGGTTCTCTAATGAGCTAAAAAGTTTAGGTGCGCACATGAGCTTTTAACAGGATGGTTTACAGTATAACCCTGTTTTGGAGTAAAAGCTTTGAAAACGTATGACTTGTCTTAGAGAAAGAACTAGACGAGAGCCCTACCGTGTTTTGCAGTCAAATCATTTGTTAGAAAATGAAAACCATCACAAATTCTCCACACCAGGGAATGGAGGTAAGAGTTTGTTGTGAAGTTCTACATAATTTGGGAATTTATATCTTGCTCAAAGCCAAATTTCCTTAAATGCAAACTTGGGTCGGTGACATTACAATTCTATGCAACTCTGTTCTACAATGTCCCCTTCCAACCATCCCTAGATATGCCATCCCCAAATAACACCGCCCCATTTCGCAACCGCCCACCATAAGAGCTTCCATCGAAGCATCAAACTGTAAAAAGAAATTAAGAAAAGTCAAATTCTCTTGTTACCATTCTCCGTATGAGTTTGCTCTTCTTTATTTTCTTTTGATGTGTCTTCAGAATAGGAATAAAGTCTAAATGTAAAATAAGATGATTGTGGTAAAAACTTTTACTATTTGCCTACAATTGTTGCCTGTAAGCTATGCACGAAATTTGCAAACGTTAAGTATTACATAATAACCATTAAATAGACAGTAGTTCAGCGAGGTGCGGGGGCTTTTCAAATACCTCTTATTTGTCACAATAGCCATTGAAGACAGCATATCATGACCTTACGAAGAGAAAACTGCTAGGGGGTCAAGACTTTGCTTAATTAAAGAGAAAAGAGAGGGGCAATTGGACCCGATTTAGTATGTTTAAAGGGCACTACAACATGCAGTCGTGTTAAAAGGCCTACGTTTCCAAAACTGCTTAATCATAAATTTTGTTTTCCTATGTTTTCTTAGATTTGATCTTGATGTGCAAAAGTGGGTGTATCGGGTTGTTCCATGGCAGAAGGTGGCCGTGAACTAGGTGTCCTCAAATGACAATGTCCGCACTTTCCAAACACTCTGATGATTCAAATATTCCAAGTTGATATATGATACAAATATCCAATTTCAAACACAATTTGTTACCTCTCAACTTTTGAGCTTGGAGCAAAAATTCCATAATTCATAGGGCACTCAAAATAGCGCACTCCAGACACTGATCCGTCATTTTTGCCAGATGGCTCATCTAGTTCGACTCCAACCCATATCCTGGGAAAGAGAAACACTGTTGAAAATATTTGAATGCTCTTAATGGAAGCGATTATTTGGATAGCGATTTTAGATATTACGAAATCTGAGGATATCACTCAAAACATTTGTTGATGTTAACATTACCCAGTAGCAAAGCTGGTCTCTCCTACAAACTGAACGTTCCCTCTTTTCTGTCCTGCCACCAATACATGTTGCCCGATCTAGTAAAATAAAAATAGTTAAAACTAAATAAATTATATATAAGGCATGGTTTGATATGACAACTCTGCATTCACCTTAACCGACCTGACAACAACCCTGACTAGCTTTCAACTTTCATGAATAATGCGGAGGAGAAACTCCCTATTAATTCCACATGGCACTAAATCTTCAATGCAAAACTTTCAAATTTATCAGGGAAAATATTACCATGTTATCACAAATCTTTCTTTCTAAAGTCTTTTCTACCTTACGCAATCTTTCTTTCTAAAGTCTTTTCTACCTTACGAAATCTTTCTTTCTAAAGTCTTTTCTACCTTACGAAATCTTTCTTTCTAAAGTCTTTTCTACCTTACGAAATCTTTCTTTCTAAAGTCTTTTCTACCTTACGAAATCTTTCTTTCTAAAGTCTTTTCTACCTTACGAAATCTTTCTTTCTAAAGTATTTTCTACCTTACGAAATCTTTCTTTCTAAAGTCTTTTCTACCTTACGAAATCTTTCTTTCTAAAGTCTTTTCTACCTTACGAAATCTTTCTTTCTAAAGTCTTTTCTACCTTACGAAATCTTTCTTTCTAAAGTCTTTTCTACCTTACGAAATCTTTCTTTCTAAAGTCTTTTCTACCTTACGAAATCTTTCTTTCTAAAGTCTTTTCTACCTTACGAAATCTTTCTTTCTAAAGTCTTTTCTACCTTACGAAATCTTTCTTTCTAAAGTCTTTTCTACCTTACGAAATCTTTCTTTCTAAAGTCTTTTCTACCTTACGAAATCTTTCTTTCTAAAGTCTTTTCTACCTTACGCAATCTTTCTTTCTAAAGTCTTTTCTACCTTACGAAATCTTTCTTTCTAAAGTCTTTTGTACCTTACGAAATCTTTCTTTCTAAAGTCTTTTCTACCTTACGAAATCTTTCTTTCTAAAGTCTTTTCTACCTTACGAAATCTTTCTTTCTAAAGTATTTTCTACCTTACGAAATCTTTCTTTCTAAAGTCTTTTCTACCTTACGCAATCTTTCTTTCTAAAGTCTTTTCTACCTTACGAAATATTTTTTTCCATAGTCTTTTCTACCTTACGAAATCTTTCTTTCTAAAGTCTTTTCTATTTTACGCAATCTTTTTTCAGTCTTTTATTATGTTACGACCCCTTTCATTCTTTTTATCTCTTTCAACTGCTTTCATCTCTTCTCACCAATAAAGACAATCGTTCATTTTAAATGAGAAATGCAATACTGCTGCAGGATATCATTAAGTGTTTCTAGTTTCACAAAACGACGGTCTATAAATGCCTTGAAACAAAGTATAATACAGGACAAAGCAAGCAATAGTCAGTGAAAGTTTGTTTTGTTGTTGCAGTAATGTACTGACAGTGATCTAAAGTAGCTGACAGTAAGATATTTCAAAGGAAATTAATGCTACAGTTTACTAATTTTTCGTTATGAATGTAAAAAAAGCAAGATTATAGTTCATGAAAGTTCTCAGGCTATTCTGTCTGATCCAACTTACTAACAAACATAAGCAAACTTCTCATTGCATTCGCTTGGTCTGTAGAACAATGTTTACTTTATATAATGCCTGCCAATAGACTTGGTATAATGCACTAAATATTTGAACATTTATACTGCACCCCCGTCTCCTCCTTCGAACAATGCTACTTTATGCAATATCGAGGTTCGGTGTGTTCTAATTGGTTCATTCCAGATAACCGTAAGCAACAAAGTAATAAAGGGATTCTTAACAGGAATTGTAAAGCTGCAGAAATGTTTTTTCATACACACCGGGAACTTAGCTTTATAATGATTAACTTTCTCTTCATCCCTTGATAACAATGGCCTATCTAACAAAGAATAAAAGAAAATAGCTAATTAAGATTATAATTCACTGGCATTTGAACCTTCGGCAAGACACGAAAAGTGAATAAGAGAGTTAAAAGTTTCTCATTTACAGTCAACGTTAACAAGAAAGGGGAAGCTATGGAAAGTGAAACTAAATGGTGTTTAAAAAGGGGATTTTTTTTGATTGTTTAACTGAATTTGATCTTATCTGAGTTTTAAAATAGAATCCAAATATGACCTTTTGGTTATATGTCGCCATTGTTCGATCAAGTTACAAAACCACAAGTTTCGAATACTGTTTCATAAAATATGAAATGCTTCTGTATTTTCAAAAATTACTTCCAACTTTCTGGGCAAGAAAGGTTGAATTCTAAAGATTAATCCACTCTAATTTTCTAGAGCTTTGAACCAGCGATCAATGCTACACGATTAATAAAGAATACAAAAGGAATTTATTTTTTGAGATGCTCTGAACCAAGGAGTGGAATGGTTCAAGAGAAACATCCAGAGTTTAGAAGGCAATCCTTATTTCTTGTCGAAGAATGGTTTATTTTGATAAAATCGTGAGAAATTTTAGACTTGAATCCATAAAACCTGACTTAATGTCTCCCCCAAAATGAAAATAACCAGAAGCAATGCCCCTAACAATTTGCTTGTCACATTTCTTAATACTTTCCTGTGTACAAGCAGCCGTACTTGCATCTAACAAAGACAATTCCAAAACAAACCTAGAACATCATGAGCGATTCACGGAAACATAGATATCCTGAAATCCGGTGGCATTGGAGCATAATGGTAAACAAAAGATTCCGATGCCAAAAGAAAGTTATCCATGGTTAGCATGTGCTCAGTCAAGGTCATAACCCTGGTTTATGTTGACTCAAAACACACAGAAAACATCTAACCTGCAAATGAACCGTCTGGTGCCTCGTATTTCTTTGCTTTGGTCACTCTTGATACTGGGGCGAAGATTCCTTTAAAATGTTTGGAGAAGATCAGTTAAAATGACCGATATCTGTCAAGGGTAGGTAATGTGGACGGATATGCAATTCCTGGAAATAATATTAGTTTGCTTTTTCTGGGTAGTAAATTCTTAGGAACCCATGAAAATGAGACTTTGTAACTTGTGTACTGTGTTATGGGACAGTGTAGATCATTAAACTATTCTCTTTTCGCTTATTTAATCAATAATGTAATTAATATGGCACATCCCTGCAAAAAAGAGCTTAAGAAGTTGAGAACTTACAGGCTATCTTTCTTTGAGTTGAGCATCTTCTATTAGAGAACCTTCTAGGTTGATAAACCCATAAGGTTTTTGAAATAAAAGTTACCTTCATGAAATTTTGAGAATGGATTATCAATAATTGCAGTCTGCGTGTTAGCAAAGTGAGCTACTAACCCCGTAAAACTCTGTATTGTTCATCTTTAAACAAATTTGCGTCCCAGAAAGAGAACTGAGTCAGAAATATACCCAATTGAAATAAGACCCTTCGACCTTGAACTGACCACCAGGCACCGAGGAGAGTTGAGAAAAGTGGGGGGGTCTAGGAAAGTGGAGGGGGCTAAAACCGTATAAAAAGAGACTTTATTGGTAGTTGATTATTTGATATTTTGGATTTTTTGCAAAAAGTGGGGGGGGGGTTAAAGCCCACTGCCCCCCTGCTCCGCGGTGCCTGACCACCCGCACCTTTCAAATAAGCATAGTCTGAGCCTTGAAAAAGTGAGTTTTCTTTGGAGTTTATTTATTCAATATATATTGAATAATACTTATTTAGCTAGTACTGCCATTTAATAAACAATATTTACTTAGCTTAGAACACTCATTTATTTAATTAGATTGTGATAGGTCCCTGAAACAGCCAGGACAGACAGATGGGAAATACCGACTTCCATGAAATTAAAAAAACGTTTTATCTACGACAATGGTTTTCTTCGAACTGTGTGGTTGCTAAAAACAACCACCTTTTCACTTCTTTATCGACTATCGACTACCTTATAAAAGCCAATCTTTCTTCGAGCAAATCTCATATATTGTTATTCGCACACCTCACGTGACACAAAATGAACATCTGTGATAAGTTATATCCAGAGACACAGCTAGCATTGTTCATAAGCGAGTTCGTGCCCCCCGCTATAACAATCCTTTACCGTATACAGAGTCGATTTTGTTTCTATTATTTTCAAACAACGGTGCCCTTTCAATAATTCTATCCTTAGAACGATACGCGTGATATCCCTGCATTCACGCATATGAGTTTGACTGCAGAATAAAATTTGAACATTGCTCACCGTATTTTGGCTCACAGTCAAAGTATCGTACATTCCCAACAGAACCATCGTTCTTTCCGCTTGGTTCATTGAGAGCAATTCCTGCCCAGTGACCAGAGGCGAACTCAGTTGGCCCGCAGTACATCAAAGTGCCTCGCTAAAATTTGAAAAATATACTCGTTAACTTGAAAAGTTCATTGTTTATAAAATTTAATGATATCAGATTATTCTAGTTTAGTTTGAGGGGCAGTTTACTTACAACTCTAGCCAACGAGTATTGTACGAAACAAAAGGATTTCCAGGGATTTCTAGATAAAATAAAAGAGTTTCTGTCAAAGGTGTACGAGATTTACATGGAGTGACTTGCCCTACTGCTTCGTTTATACTTCGTTTATAAAGACTAATAAAAAATGTTTTGCTAAAGTATAGCTGCAAACAATTTTTTACAGAAGTAAATACGGACTTAGCAAAGATACTGTGAAATCTTGAAAAAAAACAATTTCTTATGGAACAAAATGCTATTCGCTAGCTGCCAAAACCTAGAATCCTTGTCAGATTTTCGCAAAAATATTATTTTGCAAATCTTTGTTAGTGCTTTTGGTATCCAATGTGCAAACTTCAGGACTACATGGAAGAGGTTTGTCAACACTAAAAACAATTTTGTCTGACAGTTCTTAGTGTCTGACAGTAATTTTTTCTTACACGCGGGTTTTTACTGTTGTTTGAAGTTTTATACTCTAGTATGCTGGAGTGTCGGATGAAAAGTTAGCACTTTAGTATGCTATGTTTCCAGTATTCTTTGCGATTTTGGAAAAAATACCTTAGGAAAAATGCAAAGTGGACATCAGTAGGACAGAAACCTAGATAATCTGTTAGTGAATATGGCAGCCTGTTTATGTATATTTCAAGTGCATGTACTGTGATTTGATTACTCGTACGTTGATTGGTTTAGACCTAGCACTTGTACGTTGATTGGTTTGGACCAAGCTACTTGTACACTAATTGGTTTAGACCTAGCACTTGTACACTGACTGCTTTAGACCATGCTACTCGTACGTTGATTAGTTTAGACCAAGCTACTTGTACACTGACTGCTTTAGACCAAGCTACTCGAACGTTGATTGGTTTAGACCAAGCTACTCACACGTTGATTGGTTTAGACCAAGCTACTTGTACACTGATTGGCTTAGACCTAGCACTTGTACACTGACTGCTTTAAACCAAGCTACTCACACGTTGATTGGTTTAGACCAAGCTACTCACGCGTTGATTGGTTTACACCAAGCCACTTGTGCGTCGATTGGTTTGGACCAAGCTACTTGTACACTAATTGGTTTAGACCTAGCACTTGTACACTGACTGCTTTAGACCATGCTACTCACACGTTAATTGGTTTAGACCTAGCACTTGTACACTGGTTGGTTTAGACCAAGCTACTCGTACGGTGATTGGTTTAGACCAAGC